TGTTCTGTAGTGTGAAATATTGAATAATACCGCTAAGACAGAAACGACGGGGACTTTTGTTTTATTATATGTATATATACACAAAACACATATAGTTATGATGATCCAAGCGCGACAAGGGCGTGCTATTAGTTTTATATAAAATAATAATCAACAAATATTACAAGAAATGCAAATACCATCTGTCGTAACTATTACATTGTATTGTGCTACCATAAACAAGATTTTTGTTCATTAGCAATGCATATTAGATATACGGGATACATCTAGACGTCCAACTCAGAATATCGACTTGTCTATGGTCCAACTAGTATTTACAAGTTGATTAATAATTCATAGTTAAGTGTAAAACCAGTTTAGTTCACTCTCCACGGATGCCCGATATAAAATAACTGAGTTTACGTAACTGTCGGACCGTGTAGGTATCATAAATGTTAATTAAGATGAAACCAAAAGTGATGTTTCGATTTTGATGATTGGATGAATTCACGTCATGATATTTGCATAATGTTATTAACTATAGAACTGGTATACGTCTGATGGTTGTATTTTTAAACTGTGAATATTTTTACATGATCTAAATAAAATCTCTTATATTATTAATAAAAACCTTATAGCGTATGTAATTTTGAGGAAGTTACCAATCAAATAATTTATAATTTAGATGCAACAGGTTATGGACCCTTATAATTCTTTAGTGTGTATGTATTTATATGTTTTCCATTATTACATGTATTATTATATATCCTGCCGCATGATATATTTACGAAGCCGATTTACACAAAGAGAATATTTGTTTATTTTGTAATTAGAATTTGATGTAGTTGCATGTATTCAATTTCTAGTTAAATCTATGGACCTACTACAAACAATACCATATAGAGATCGTCTCCAAATGAACCACACACCGAGTTCCAGTGTAAAGTTGCATTTCTCAAAGAATCATGTTGATATCTAAACACACACTCTCATGTTCTCAACATATTTAGTGTGCATATTTGATACGTATTCTTGTTATCTATGTATACATATAAAAATGTCGTTGTTTGCTGTCTGTACAAAGAAAAAATATTATAGGTGGACGTTATGAACTTAATAAAACCCAAAACAGTGATTATTACAATTTCTATATTTGGGTCTCTGCGTTTGTGCGTATCTTCAAAAGTGGTGAATTCACCATGCTGGGTTAACCATCCTGACTTCAGCCTCATCTTATCATCTTCCACTGGTGCCCTGTTAGATTACACTCTGCGTTACGTGGGTTACGCGAGAACCATTCCATTGCATAATTTTTTATTTAACTTTCAATTTATTATAACTGTTTATAAGTATGTTTATCTATACAAATAAATAAAATTAAAGAGTCTGTTTGTTATTTCAAATTAATAGCTTTCCCTTAATGTAGAAAGTATTTATAGTACTTACATAAAAAATATTATAAAATATTGTCTGTCTGTTTCTTCTTGCGAATCTCTGAAATATATATATATAAAGCTTTATATATATATATTTTTTTTTTAATAAAAAATTTACGTTCAATTCACACGGAGAAAGCCGCAGGTAACAGCTAGTTCATATATAAAAAAAAATGGTCCAGTAACTTCATAGGAATCTACATGAAATTCTACACCAGAAAAACATAACGTATCGTGTTATGATATGGTCTTGCCTTATCTAGCGGATGAATCGTATCGTCTTACCGTACGTCGGTATTTGTATAAGGTACTTACCGTGCACTTGCGCTATCGCAAATTACGGGTGGTCATTAAACATGACTGTGTCTGATTTTATTATTCACTCATCCGGTGCTTAGTTAAGAATAATCTTTAATCTGCATTATGTACCAATAGAATATGGGAAGATGAAATATGTAGTTAGCAGAGCAGGGAAACTATGGACCAGAATCACTTATGATCATCAGAATCATGATAAATTTCTAGTGAATTTGTCACAATGGGATATCTGACCTGACCTCAGGCTCATCATATCATCCTGCACTGGCGCCCCACCAGCCTAAATCGTTAGCGCAGACGGTTGTATACCGGTGCAACATTCTATTATCATCCATAAAAAATCGCTCCCCCTTCCGAGTACGTCTAATATGCTGGCAGAACCTTTGTGAAGTATTAAAGAATGAGTATATAATCTGGTGACTAATGTATGAGGAATTAAGCACTATGGTTTCCGGTCGAGGTTGTGTGAAATTCGTCGTGAAGACCCTTTTTTTATAATATAATAGTTTAATATGGCCTTTTTAGATAGAAAATAGCCTATGTACGTCCATCTTCATATTAAATTTCATTCTAATCCGTGCAGCCGTTTAGCCATGGATAGGTAACAAATATGTGGACATATCCTTAAGTTTACGTAATATATGTATAATATAGTATGGATTCTTGTTAAAGATTGAACTTTTATAATATTTTATATCCATATATTAGTAAATTCTCCTATCCATAGAATTCCGTAATACTTTTACATTTCTTTACGATTTCTTAAACACATTCTTTCATATAATCTTTACGCCGTCAAATATCAAACTTAAGAAGAGAACTAATTAAACAGATGCCGATTTGTAGAAAAAGAAGAAACAAAGAATATTTTACTTGTGCGCTAATGTAATACATTCAGCAATTCACTTTTATTTACATAGATAGAAAATAGTAGTTTTAGTAGATCCCTAGTAATTAATATAAATAATTGGCATATTAACATACAAAGATAACAAGGATTTTAATAATTCAGTAGCAGATCTACATGTTTGTAATTAACAAAATAATGTCAACAATGCGATTGAGTCACACGTGTACACCTAAGACCACACCCAGTTCCATCCAATCTTGTATTTAACATACAATTGACGCATTACAATAATGGTTGAAGTGGTTTGCACTGAGGGAAAACAGTTTTGTGTATGCATTTTATTTGAGGTTCGTAGTAACCTAATGGTTTACTTATTTAGACTTTAGAAAAAAATATTGATTGAATGACTTTTCGGTAATGGAAACACCAATAAAAAAGTATTCTGAGAGAATGCGGTAGGTTCTATCAGGTGGTATTGAAATATAGTGAGCTAAATGTGTGTATGTGTATATATACTAGCTGCCCCCTCAAACGTTGTTTTGCATATAAATAAATATTGCTATTAAAAAAGAGGGGTCGGTAGTAGAAGGGTGAAAATTTAAGGTTGTATATATTTTAATGCCACATGATATAAAAAAAAAATTCTGTTAAAAAACAGATAAAACATTTTTGGGGAGAACCACCGTTAACACTTAAGGATATAAAAATTTGTTATAAACCTATTCTCAGACCTACTGATATACATATAAAATTTCACCAAAAGCGATCAAACCGTTTCAGAGAAGTGTAAACACGAAATCTGTAACACAAGAATTTTATATGATATATATATGTATAATTGAAAGTATAGATCCGGTCTGGAAATTGTTGTAGTACGTGTACATAAGACGTAGGTACTTAAGTAGTCCTAGAGGTGGAGTTAAACTTTTGTGGTTACAATACACTTAGTATGTACATAGGTTCCGGATATGAAAACATAATAAAGTTCTGCATAATTATAAAAATGTATGAATTACTAGTAGTATAGTTAAAAAATAAATGTAACAATAATAATATATATAAAAAAAGAACATCTTTGTTTCTAATACAGTGTAGGTAGATTTTTCTTTTTAAGTATGTCTAGGTAACTAAAACAAATCTGTTATTTAGTTTCAAGTAAACAAAATATCCTTCTATTGGGGACTTATATATTTATACATATTCCTGTTTATTAATACATTTGAGCAACAAAATAACACAAAAGCAACTTAAATAGTCCCACATTCTTTTACTTGTGCGTAATTTGTATAAAATATAAGATAAATATGTGGTTTTCCTGTTAAATAAATCGCTTTGTAATTACAACGACGCCATTTTGTTCTATTTTATTTTATATATTATATATTGGTATTTATTGTATTGTTATGTATGTACTCTATATACTCGTAACTTAATGTTTTGTATATCTTACTAATTACGTACCTAGTAATAATCAAAATACTTGAAAGTCTTTTATATGTACATCATCATATAGAAATTTTGTCAAGTACTAATACAATAATAGAATAAATGTATAACATATATATATAATAAATATTTGCTAATATTTAAAGTAAATACCTTTATATTTGCTACAAATGGCATGTGCCAATCGTTATCAATATACATACATAGAGCATCAAGAATAAAAGATAACTAAGGAATTCCGATAGTTATGTACTTAAGTACCTTATGTACATACCGGTAATTTTTTTAAAATTAAAATTAGAATCGGAATCTATGTTTAATTTAGTTTACAAATTAAAATTTCTAGACTAGGGTGGAAAGATAATGATATCTTGTAGTCTTGTTCTCCCATCCATTATTATGCTACATATGTATAAGCTTACGTAGGCGTATAAGATCGAGACAAAAGTGATAACAATGTTATGTTAATAAATTAAAAGTGATAATATGTGTATAAGAAGTCATTTTTCCTAATTATTTTTTTATGTATATATATATCTAATATATATGTAAGTATATACTATATTGACTACACATACTGCTGTAAATTCTAAATATATGAGACGATAATAATATCATATATGGAGAAGACGGCGCCTATTAACAATATTATTTATAAGTTTTAATATATTAAGTTTGTTTATAAGTACCACATCATGTCAACCTCTAAACAGTTCTCATTTGAAACCATCGTGGAATTCGCATTGATAGCCTATTTTATGTAAAACTTAACTGCCTACGGTTGCACTATTTCTTTATCATATATAATAGAAAAGTTTAATCATTTTAAAAAATTAGGGATAAGAAATCGAACACAACTCTAACGATTCCTACTACTTTATAATATGTAATAGCTAATACCTTAAGAAATTGATCGCAACTGGTGATTCTTGTTATTTTAAAATATCTAATACCTTTCATTTCCTCTGCAGGGCCACGATATCACTTCCCGCTTACTGAGAAAGTGGCAGCTGATCTACGGGTAAGTGAATAAACTGTATACATTACACGTCTAAAACATCTTAAAGTGAATACTTACATATATATAATAAATAAATACATCATTATATTTACTTAAGTAGGGCAGTAGCATATTTAGAAAAGGACAAAAAAAGTACCGAATTAGCATAAAACTATCAAACATAACTTATAGCACAGGTAGGTAATGGCTTGAAGCTCGCTTTCTAACAAGAAATTGAACTGACTTAAAAATACTGAAAGGCTATAATGAATAAATTTCTGTTTACTATTATACCTAATTAATTACTTTGATTTCTCTCTAATAGACATTAAATTTAATTGCAATAATTATAAAACAAAATGGAGATTCCATTACATGGAATCACTGAATATTAATCATGTAAATATGACTTTTAGTTTTTAGTTTATATTAATACTTAAGTCAAATACCTATATATCTATATATACAACATACATTCATGGGGGTTATTATATGATAACGTTAGTTTATATATGTGTATATCAATAATTCTAGTAATTATCACTTGACACAGATTAGCAATCTATAGTTCTACAATTTGAAAACCTCAGCGATTCTCAAATAGTTCATACAAAATTGTAATCGTATCGATTTCTATCTTTTACGACATAGGTATAACTTTAATTATATCACATTTTATGCCTACATTTTTTATGATTATATTTGCACCGCCACTACTCTCCCAGCATTATCTATGGTTAACGGGTAGAAAATGCCGCATAGAGTCAAGGTCGCCAAATGTACTTAATGTACTGTGTGCATTACAGTTATATAAATAAAAAAAATAATGGTTTATCTATGTAGCACATAATAAACCCCCAATTCAAACAAAGAATGTTTTAAATCCTGCCACAGAGTTATGATATACGAGTAAAAAAATAAAAGAAGCAAAGACAATCGAAAGTACAATATACGCTGCCATCATGTCTCACTCGTGAGAATCTTTTATATTGAGACATTAGAAAGTATTGAAATAGATTTGAGTGGTTTTCAAGTGCGATAATATGTTATATAATCGTAAAATTAATATACTTAAGTATACTTACGAATATTGTAGCATCAGCCTATCATCATTTTTAAAACTGCTAGTAATTGAGAGTACTAATTTAATTCACTACCATTTGAATGTCAACATCTTTAAACCGCTTTACACTACTTATTTAAACCTTATATGAATATAAATTTGTAATTTATGTAATTCATTTAGTAGACATACATTTGACATGCCCACATTGTTACATTATCATGACTTGGGTTATATGGTATGTATGGTTTCCTGTAACTGAGTGATAATATAGAATACTTTACTGCACTGGTTTCCCTCAAGGCTAGGCGGCTTGACTAGATATATTTTAATCCAACCTGACCTGCCTACTGCCGTTTCTTGGCTTAACTTGGTTTGTTGTTGCTGTTTTACCTGAGAATTAATCAGAATCACCTTTTTGGTGTTAGCCAGATTCAATTTTTGATGTAGTCGAAGACTAATTCAATTATATCACATAGAACTTTGTGAAGCTCATTCGATATGCTCGCGCCGAGATGTTTGCGAGATGAATCAGTCGTAGTATCATAAACGTAGTTCGTAAGATAAATTACGTTTCTCGGAACAAGATCGGCCATTCTCCTGCGCCGAAGACACCTCACCTCAGCATGAATGGGCTACGTCATTTTGACTCACCGACCTGAACTCGAAGTGTGCCACTTTTGCTTTTTTTCTGTCGACTCCGCCTAACTTGTTTGCCTTTGCTGATCTGTAACGAATTTGTAATACTATAGGTATTCTTTTCAATAGACGTGAAAAATATTTCAATTCGACTGCATTTTCTTTGTCAATTATTTTACATAGATGCTAGATATTGTTTATGGTTTAAACGCATGTTGTTCCCGTATAATTTATCATTAAGTAAGCCTTTTTCCTATACCAAACCTACCTATATGCCATTATAGAAGAGATGATAAATTGATATTTTTTGGTGATGAAAGTTAGTCTTAGTTCATCCTTGTGAATGAAGGTGTTACAACAGATAACAAAAAAAAACGATTAATTCAAAGTGTAAACCGGCAATACCTTCTACTAACCAGTTTTTATATTGTATGACTCATTAAGTAATAATTAGTAATATCATAGCGTAAGTATTACTAAATAATTTTCTATGGTCATATTATTTGTTTTTATCTTTTTTACATATTATAATGCGTTTTCTTAATTTGTTTCTCTGACTAAAAATGTTGCAATTTATAAAAGATCTGATTTTAGTTACTGTAATTTAATTAGTAATAATTTTCATTTAAAATAGATTGAAACTGCAAGCTTTTATGAATCGAAACCGATAAGATAAATTCATGTCTGTTAGATTCTGTTACAAAATGTATAAAACCTGTTATATGCCTATACGATCTGTTACTAATCAAATTGTACAAAGATATCCCTTAAACTGTCAACTTCGATTTGCTTCAAACTAGCATAGAAGCCTGTACAGTCATATACATATATATTCTTTCAAATTAACCGGATGAGATACACAATCAGTCACAATAGCTAGTACTCTCGCTATTCACATTTAAAAGTATGTCATTGTGGCTTTGTCAAGACCACTATATACATGTATGTACAGAGTAGGTCTGTACACGCCTCATATCAGATCAGATATATTAATTTATTTTAACAAAATTAAAGCTTTATTGTGTACTAACTGACCCGTGCAACTACGTCTACGATACATATTAATCGTTTTTGCAACATTTTGCAATAACTTTCCTCAATATATGGGCTAGGTAATGCTAAACGAATTTTCAAAATTAAATCAGTAGTGGCTTGCTTTATAATATTAGTGTACATGTAATTATTTATTACATTAGCTACTGACTAGCTGACAATTTGATTTCGTTTTGTTCTAAACCCTTCCTATAATGGTCGACGAATCAACACCTATCCTTATTTTCTCTTTAATATATAAATAATGACGTCTTGATCACCGGACGTATTGTCGTATCAGGAAACACTACATTGATTTTCGTGGGAATAACGATTGTACCATAGTCAAATATTTTTTTTTAATTACACTTACTCAATAGTGCTGGAGATACAACGCAATACATTACTGTAAATGAAAGAAATATAACCGTATACCAAGCCACGCACCATTTTTTCTTAGAACCAATTGACAGTAGAATTGTGACTTTATGCTATTTTTTCGTATTCCTTGAATACTACACTAACAACGTTATAGTTCCTTATTGCGGGGTATTTAACAAATTAAATTACATTGTAATTCGCTTCGTCGTTACTCTTGATTGAGTGTCAAGATTACGGTACAAAACTGGATTGGATTGCAATCGATATTGGGATTAGATTCTGAAGTGGAATTGCCGGTTTTCGATTATATTGGCAAAATCATCTTACAGAGAAATTATGATTAAATAAAACCTCTATAATTATCATCCTGCCTAAATCCTATTGATGGAAGATCGACGTAATATATTAGATATACTTTATGTCTACTCCCAGCATGGAAGAGTTAGGGATGAAAAGATGCAGATAATAAAATTTAGAAAGCTTAGGGATGTAAGTGGTCCTTACTTCCGTCATGTGTTTACGTACATAATTTCTTGGAGGAGATACAGCTTTCCAATTGTTATGACTCAAGAGTTGTGTACCAGAATGTCGTCATTCTGGGCTGGATATCAACCCCGACAATGACACAGCTCCAAGGAACGCTAAATCAATTTCCTACTAATATTAGCTTTCTAGTTGTATATAAAAAATGACGATTCATATTTCTCATATCTATAATACAATTTATGACTAACAGAATTTATTATCATAAACAACATTTCTATATTTCAACGATTACAAGACGATAAAATTTATTATTAGGTATTTCGCTTTTCTCCCGTCTGGCGCAAATACGGTATTTATTCATTTTCTGCGAATTTGTCCGCGTGATTTTTTATCATTTTAATTCTCACCTACTCCATTTATTAGTATCAGCATATAACTATAATGAAAATGTCTATTATTTTTTATATACCATAGACTTCTTTTTTTTGATATGATTCAATTTTAACTGCATAATAGATAAAATATATATGTGGAGTTCAGGACAACCTTGCTTTATGGTTCAAAACTATATGCAATTTGCAAACCATTGCGTTAATTGCCCAATAAGCTTTGGACTATAAGTCGTGAATATGGATAATCTCTAAAGCTTTTACTAAATTTCTTTTTGATTAGGAATAAATCCATATTTATTATATACTGTTAGAAAAAAACAATGATAAATTAATATGAATGTGTCTGCCTGTGTATGCCTGCAGCATTATAGATCCAGATCGATAACAAAACAAATCCAACAACATGACTTAATGTAATCTTACACCTATTGGCGTTTATGCTATTGTCCATAGCCCCAATATGTCATGGACTACTTACCCGCCAGTATCATGAGGGTACAAGCACGACTTAACCGTTGTGGCTATGTGTGTTGCATAATTGAAGAACTGGTATCCACTACACTATGGGTTCGCCAAATTACTTTTCATTGTATAGACCAATTTCTAGTTATAAATTACGTAAGACGCGGAATTATTGTGTTAAAAACGATGTTCTTGATTAAACTTCTGAACGTCGAACATTGTTATTACTTTCAATAATTGAGGTGTTTTATTTAGAAAATAAATAAATGGTATAAACTTATACTGTGTTGTACATTTACTAGGTGTCGAGTATTTTATTAAAAATGCTTAATAATGGCCATTAAATTATCTATTCGTGGTGTGCGTGTCTTGAAAAAGTTAAACGAAGCTTCCTCATGTGCGTAAGTGTAATCTAGCAGCATTTTGTACTGGACGTAATAGCGCGTCGCACAGCGGCTGCGGTGCGGTCAGCCATGCCATCGTTGCGCTACGTGTTCGGAATTCAAACTGAATCATCAGGATTCTAAAATGGCGGAATGTCAACTTCTTCGTTTAGTTCTATTATT